AACTGTTAATAATCTCATTTTGTCCATTTCTTTGCTTTTTGGTAATTGCACTCAGCAGGTTTGAAACAAGGCTCTCACTAAATGTTGCTCTCTCTGATTTTGTATATTTCAGTGTCTAGTCAGCTGAAGTGGTGAAGAACTGCATGTCCATTTACTATATGTTAGTGGGGAACTTAACTGCTTCTTAACATATTGTTCATTTTCAACACTGTCACGTTGCATTCATATAGAGCACATTTTAATTTCTTGATCAGTAATCAAGTGGAAGTTTCTTCTTGGCAAATTAAAGCAGGAAGATTTTCACACAAAAGAAAGGGCATGGTAGTAGAACGCCACCTTTTGGCAGAAAAAGTAAATACTGTAGAAGCATATTTCGAAGATGCTTCTGATGTGCAATTACACTTTAAATTACACTAATGGCAAAGTACTTATGCCTAATTCATTATATTTTAAATAATTAAGAGGAAAATCATCGCAAATAAATATTTGCAAAGACAAAGATGGTTTAGCTGTACTTTAAGAGTAATCTTCAAAGAGAGTAAGTACATAATTTCATTATGTCATTGTATTACTAAATAGACTCAATTATCAAAAAGCAGCAACAAAATACTAGCCTTCACAATCTACCCCACCCACTTGACGTACAGTGGAATATATTATAGATGTGTGTGATTGGAAAAGGCAGGTTACATTTTTGTAATATAATTAGGGTCTTTTTCCACCATTTTTCCATTTTACTTCATTGTTTTCTGATAGGAAATTACAGCAGGAGAAAATATATAGTGCAATTCTTAGACCATAGCCTGCACATAAATAGAAGCTATTTTTTCTCTTACTGAAGTGCTTTAGAGGTATTTGTTATACATTTAAACCCAGAATAAACTTTGTTTATTGTAAACTTCTTGGCTCTTGTTTTTAACTATGCAAATTTAAATCAGTATATTAACTCTATAAAACGTGATTAATTCCATAGACAATAAGAGCAGTGGGACTTCTCCCTCCCCCTCCACCAAGGCAAGCTGCTAATTGCACTTGAATTGTTTACTGCTGTATTGTTTTACAAGTGCCTGGAGAAAGAGATGCTTGATATTCCCACCACCACCATGATTATCCCAGGAGCAAATGCTTGGCAGATTTTGGTAAGGGTGTACACACGCTATGACTACAGCTTGTTAGTAAAAA